TCTCTTTAGCAACTTTGTTGCGAGAGTATAAAAATATGTACCATTTTGGTCCACCACTTTTTGTAGATTTCCGCTAGAAACTGAGAGATGATGAACGTTAAGTTCCTTAGCGATGTCATGGCAGCTTATGTGATGGTCCTAGTCAATATTTTCCATAATTTCACCGACTTTTTCAACAATAGGTCGATCATTTTTTTTTTTTTTTTTTTTTTTTTTTTTTTTTTTTTTTTTTTTTTTTTTTTTTTTTTTTTTTTTTTTTTTTTTTGTTAAATTAAGCTTAGGGTCTCACCTTTCCAACGCTATATGGTATGACACAATGTGATTGGTAGCACTGGAGATATACGACTGCAAAGACATCTATTGACAGAATATGAAAATACTTTTCCGACTACACAATATATGCTTAATATAGTAGACAGGAAGACATAAAATTTTTCATACTTGGTAACCCTAATCATGGACACTTTTTTTCATCCGAAAGTGGGCTACACTGTAATTCGGTCGCATGCGAATTTAATCAGTTTTACTTGCTTATGTTTAAAATACAATAAATGATTAAACAGAATGACAGTCATTATTATTTATACAAAATATTTTTAGACATGAACACAAGTTGTTTTGGCTTTAAAATTTAATGCCAAAAGGTAATTAGATTCCTTAGAGGAAAGAGAAGTGGGAAGTCACTTTTACAAGCACTTATAGCTTACGTTAGTAATGTAATATTAACTAATGGAATGGAAATGGCTTTCCGTGAATACGTTTAAATTACATTCACGTGAAAACATTAGCAAAAAGCACTAAAATATTCTAAAACATGCTGTGCTTGGCAGCTCTCTGCTACCCACACATATGGTTGTGTTGAAGAAAGTTGAATTTATGCGCCACAATATGCAAATTGACGAGCTATCTGATTGATAATATAACGAATAATTACAATATTGAACTGATTCAGTGAAAGGCCTAATTAAATCCATTAAATTAACGACTGCAACTACATCACTATTATATTAATTATCGCTATGTGTGTGGAACATGGGAGTAATTTTAACAAAATTAAATTTTTATAACAAGCTAAAGGCAAGTTTGTTGTGAAATTATACTAATTATCGATTGCCCTCAAGCTCGCTAKTATTAAATGGCAAATATGGGTTTAGAAGCATTCCTGAGATCTCGTTACAATATAATRTAGGCAAGTAAAGTTCGCGTTATTATGAAGCATACAGCAAAGAGTTGCTTGCTCCTTATTCAGTTCTTAGAAAGGGTTTAGACACACTCCAGTAAGCAGCAACAGCTCAAGTGATCTTAAAAGCTGTGTCGTGACTTCACTTCATAGAAATACCACATATTATAAATTAATAACTAAATAGCAATAAAGATTAAGAAGCTTTTAAATAATTAGGATTTAAGTAATTTTTCATTACTCGTGTAAATAATCGTAAAAATATGTGMTAATTACTTGTGAAAATAATATAATTTTTTACTATAAAAGATTCGCTTTTTGCGTTTTATATTTTRCATGTGGACACGTGCGTGACAATGTTGTGAAAAAAATCTGAAAGCAATGTGTGTGAAAACGCAAGCTGAAATACGCAAAATGGGCGGCGATTAATGCCATTGTTTTTAGTTTAGCGTAAAATGTCAAATTTATGCCGCTTGCCTGTCAACGCAGGAGGCCTCGCATGAGCTGCCCGTCGTATGAGTAACATTTTATTATAAACATACACATGTATATCACACAGACGAGCGAATGCTAATGCATTTATGCATGTGTTTTAGAAAAATTATTTAAATGCTTTTGCAAGCATTTGTTGTTGCTTTTTGTTGCAATTAAATATATTTCTCCTATAAAAAGTTAAAAGCGTGAATGCGCCGCAATGCCAGTTCAACGAACTGAGTTAGAGCAAACGACATGACAGCTGCTCTAATTTCCCATCTAATATATATTTAAAATATATATATATATATTACATACATATGTATGTATAAGTGCGTTCTCAGACAAACTGTCGTTACTATTGTTGCAATTATGTTGTCTTTAATCATTTGTAAAACGAATCTTATTATTATTTATAATAACTTCAGTTAATTACATATGTACAGTGTTGCGCAAAACATGTGTAATTTGAAATTAGTCAAGTATTTTTTGTTTTTTGTTTTTTTGTATGAACGATAAATTCAAATTTATTTTTATTGAAGAATGTTCTTTAGTAGAAAACAAAAAGAATTCAATTTAAGGATTTAGAAAACGTCAATTTTTGGGAATTTCAAATAAAAAAATTGACTTATCGATAGTTTTTAAGTTTTCAAGGTATATTTATACATATTTCAAGACTACACAGAAAAATGTTGTTTTGAGAAAAACGTGTTTAAAGTTGAACTGTAGTTGAGACTGATTGAACTGAGCGGCAACATTTTAGAAAGATGTAACTCAAAAACTATTTTAGAGATTTGTAATTTTAGTCTATTATTCAGAAAGGAATAAACTATGTAAATCTAAAAAAAAAAAATTAATTTTACAAAATTTCTCACTAGGTTTGAACCTCAATCGTAAAAATGTGCGAAAATATTTTTTTATTCTTCTTCGTTCTCTTTACTGGCGAAGACAGCAGCCCGCCAGTTCTTCTTTTCGCTATTTGGCGCAAATTTGAAATACGAAGTGCACCCAGGTCCTTCTCCAGCCGATTTCTATAACGGATTGGTGTTTCTCTTGCTATGCCTCCAGTGCGGTTCTTTTCCTCCTGATCTCTCCAAAGCAGTGGAGGTCTTTCGCTTCAACTGCGTCTACCGGCAGGTACTGAATCGAAAACCTTCAAAACGGAAATGTGGCTAATGTAGACGCTGTCTCATAATTCGAGGAACTTTGTCAATGTCGCCGAATATCTCGTACAGCTCGTCGTTGTTTCGACTGCGGTACTTGCTTTTGCCAAAGCGCAAGGACCAAAAATCTTCCGCAAAGCCTTTCTCTCAAACACTCCTAAGGCCGACTCACCAAATGATGTTATTGCCCACGCCTCCGCATCATATAGCAGGACGGGAATGTTGAGGGACATGTAGAGTTAGGTCTTTGTTTGTCGAAAGAGGACTTTACTTTTTACAAATTCCTACTAATTTCTATTCGAACCTCATCATAGTCGATCAATGAAACATCAATTATATCGTCATCGAATGGGGAATCGTGCTCTCCATCTTCATATGTTACACTTTCAATCCCGTTAAGCAGGCTGGAGAAGTGTTCCCTTCATGACTGCAGTTTGCTCTGAACATCAGCCACTAGATCACCACTTTGGGTTCCACAACAGCATGTTCCGGTCTTGAAACCTTCCGTCGAATTTTCGAGCATTACCCTTGCTTTCTTTGTCTGCATAAAGTGTCTCGCTTACCTCTTCAACTCTCGGCAGCTATACCACTCCGCTCGTGGTAAGTGGTCATTCGCAACAGTGCGAGATAGGCTGCACGCTTTCTGCGATACAGTCCTAATTTTACCAACTATTCTTTCGAGCTTTACAAAAACGAGTGGTTTTGCTTACATTTTCTTATTCAATAAACTTTTACATCGACATGTGGAAAAAATGTGCTGCTAAAAATATTTGAGTATATATTTGAATATGGCATATTCAAAAAGTTTTTTTTTTATTTTTTTGCGAATTCTTATGTAGTGAACTTTAAATGTTTTAACAATTGTAATAAGAATTAGCGCCCTTTTCAATTTTAGATCGCTGAAGTGAGCGCTCGCTGACGGCGAACTTTAATTGCTGCTTACATACATATATTCCACAGATTTTCTATCAAGCAATAACTTATGATAATTCTTAGAAAATTATAGAAATTAACATTTTTTTCAATTAATCGCAATCTGGCTCCACATATGTACATATATAAACATGACAAACACTGAGTCATCCAATATTGAAAACCGCTAAATCTGCTCTTCTTACAGTGTCTAAATTTGTGCAATAAAAAGGCCGCCGTAAAGCAGGCTCAGCGAATTGGCGCAATCATCATCGCAACACAGCCGTTGGCGCAAATTATGACAAAACCTATAGAGACACACAAACAAACATACATTTCAAACAGCTACCAGAAAAGTGGCAAACATTTAAGCGCACACAAACACACACATGCGAGTATGACGTAGATGCATGTGAGTAAGCGTTTCGCAAAGTAACGAAAATCAAGCGTGTTAGTGACAACAACAACAATACTAAGCAGCTCGAGAGTCACCAGCGCAGAAGTCGCGTTTTAGAGTGCAATCGTTGCAAACAAGACAACAACAACAACAGCATCAACCACAAAATAATAACCACTAACGGCATAACAACAAACACGTTCCCCACAAAGCCAAAACCCAGAAACTAGGATGGATTCGACAACAGATACCGGCTGCAGCGACTCGTACAACAGTTACGGTAAATCACACTCCAGCGACACTTCGCTCAGCTACGCCAGCGACATAAATGCGATCAGTGTGGATTTGGGCGATGGCGATAATATCTCATGCAGTGGCCTAAAGTATCTGCCAACTTGGCCGGCGATTAATTTGCAATTTCGGGACTTAAGCTACGAGGTCTACGATGTACACACGAAGGGTGAGTTCTCAGATGCATTTAGTTAGGAATAGAGAAATTATATACCTCTCTCCCTCTCTCTATCTCTCTTCTCTCGGCTAACGATCTGGGCTTTCTCGCTTCCAGAACCTTAAGAACTAGAATGAGCGTACACTTCTTCAGTTTTTTAGATTTTGCATTTTGGATTTCTTAATTAGGTAGATGGTCTGTCGATGTAAACTTGCGGCCAGTTGTTGCTCAATTTTACATTGCTTAAGGTATAGGTTACCCTAAAAAGTATTTTTAAACACCGTACAGATCGGCCATGCCTTAGTGACTTTTGACAAGAAAACCTTTCCTTTCACAACACAACCCAACAACACATAAAACATGTGCACTGTCACTCTAAAGCTGACCTAATAACTTCAAAGTCCCTTCACTCCCAAGTCGCAAAGCAAACGTATTGGCGATTACAACAAGACTATAAAATGAAAACGAGTGAGTCAGTAGTAATTACGGGGGCAAAGTAGCGACTAAAATAGTAACCACTGCATGTTTGGATGATTACATCTCAAGTATCACTGGTTGCATACTGCTGCACCTGTTCCTACATATCTACACTATATACAGAGGCATGGGAATGTTACTTTAGTCATGTAGGCGAAACTTTGGCTGACGCCGCATGAGTAATTAGTGCGAGTGCAAATGGAAGCAGATAATAAACTGATAATTTTTCACGGCAAACACAAAGGCTCTAACTACATGCTGATTACAATGTAGAGCTTAGTAATTGCAGAGACATTACATTGATGACCCTGCTAAAATAGAGATACGATAAAATAGAGATTGTTGTAGTTTGATTCTGCCTTAGGTCAGCTGGTGACGTCAATATACACTGGATTTTACAAACACTTTGACTCGACATACCTAAAGAAAATGTTTGAGGTTGTGGGTTATATAATTAAAAGGCGTTGATAAAATAATAGCGGAGCCTAAATAATTATCCGAGCGTGTTTGAAATCAAGTTTGGCTTGAGTAGCTCATGTTTTATTTTAAACATTGATGTTTCAATCGGCAAACTCCAATGTCGTTTAATCAGTCTTTTCAAAGGCGCTCAGTTCTTAAAAAATTTGACGATGGTTCTCTGTGCTATGATGAAAATATGCACCCAACTAATATCTAAATGAAACCCTGTCCACCAACAAATTATCCAAGTTGCAAACCCAAATCCTAGCGAACATTGTGCACACAGTAATATCTTTAGTTTATCTCCAAACCTTTTTTAGGCACATAATTAATACCGTCCATAAGTCGATTGGGTCAAGACTCAAAAATATTATATTTCATTAATATAAAATATTAATGAAAATATAAGAGAAAAGTTGAAAGAACCTTCAACAGTTCGTAATAAATGAAATAAAAAGGTTCGAGCATCGTTCGGAAACCTTTAATGAAAGTCGAAAAAGTCTTTTCGTATTTCTAATCAAACTTCAATTTTTTTTTTTAATTTACAATGAACTTCGATGAAACAAATATGTACCATTTGGTCGACCACTTTTTGCATTTTTCCGCTAGAGACATAATTCCATCAGTGTAAAACTTTTCTGGTTTCTCGGCGAAAAACTGCGACAAGTAATTTTCACACAGGCTTCTCTTGAAGCCAACTTTACTCCATTAAGGGAGTTCTGCATTGACCGAAGCAAATGGTAGTCCGATGTTGCGAGGTTAGGGCTATGTGGTGGATGCATCAAAACTTCCCAGCCAAGCTCTTCCAGTTTTTACCGAGTCATCAAAACTGTGTGTGGTCTAGCGTTGTCCTAACGAAAGACGAAGCCCTTTCTGTTGGTCAGTTCTGGTCGTTTTTTTCCAGGCTGGAGAAATAATTCACGCTCTCAAGGCACTCTGAAACTTTCTTCGAAAGATCATGTAACCGATGCCCCTAATTAAGGGTTTGACCGATTATTTTACTTTAATGACCATCATTTAAGCACTCTCAGCATATTGCGAAACAGATTTTACCTGCACTTATAACTATACTTAGCCATATAATTCTATGATTAATAATTTTTTATCAGTTTGATCAACGTCTGTTTTCATTGCTAATAACTCGTCAGCGAAGTAATTACATAGTTGACATTACGTTTTCATAATTATGGCTCACAAATATTATAAAAAAAAAAACTTATTTCCCTAAATTATTTTCTCCCTAAACAAAATAAAATGCTTAGCACGGAAACCGCTGCTGCGTGGCATTAACGGACAGTTTCGTGCGCACGAGCTTACAGCCATACTGGGCCCGTCGGGCGCGGGGAAAACGACGCTACTCAACCTACTGGCCGGCTATGGGTAAGTAATGATGAACGTTAGCTCCATTACACACAAGTACAAAGTTTATTTACACGGCAACGGGAGCGCACTCGTACTTGTCATTTATCTGTTTTGCTTAACTTTTGCTTGGCATGGCAATTTATTTTATCACATTTTCACATTTATCAATAGCGCAAGGAAAACATCCGGTGAAATTTGCGTCAATCACAGCCCGCGCGATATGAGAGTTTTTCGCAAAATGTCACGCTACATCATGCAAAACGATGTGCTGGATCCACATTTCACGGTGCTGGAGGCGATGCTGCTGGCCGCGCACCTAAAGCTGGGCAATGACTTGAGCCACGCGCAGAAGTTGGAAGTGGTGAGTTATGATGCTAAAATACCTCGATAATGTTCAATGACCGCCAAACGCTTTCAGATCGATGAGATACTCCGCATGTTGGGTTTGAAGAAAGTGCAAAACACCACCACACTGCGTCTCTCCGGCGGCGAAAAGAAGCGCTTGTGCATCGCACTGGAGCTGGTGAATAATCCGCCGGTGATATTTCTCGACGAGCCTACCACGTAAGTGATTTCAAATGAAAATCGTCCTTCAGCTGCATATTTTTCATTTCCATCTTATCCTAGCGGTCTCGATGATATCTCAAGTTCGCAGTGCATATCTCTGCTGCGCGGTATTGCGCATCGCACGGGGCGCACCGTTATTTGTTCAGTCCACACGCCATCCGCTAAAGTCTTCGACATGTTCGATAAGGTCTACATCTTAGCTAAGGGACAGTGTATTTATCAGGGTTCGGGTGCCAACATCGTGCCTTATATGAAGCATATTGGTCTCACATGTCCGCGTACTTATAACCCGGCCGACTTTAGTGAGTTCGAGGATAAGACGCTACCAAACCAAATTGTATTAACCCATTTTATTGTTTTACTTCACAGTCATTGAGGTTGCCTGCGAAGAATATGGTACCAACTATCATGAGCCAATGGTCGATGCTGTTGAAAATGGTAAAGTCTATCGCTGGACGCCACATCGAGAACGCAGGCAAGTTAAGTCGGACGCAACGAACAAATCAGACACAACATCCGGTGCCTCGTCCTTCGATGAGTTGGAGCAGTTCGAGGAGGAAATCAATCCGAAATTGTTGAAGCAGAAAGCATCGTGGTGGATGCAATATAAACTGCTGCTGACGCGAATGATGGTGCAGATGTGGCGCGATAAGGTGGGTCTTTAAGGAGTAAAGGTTCCTGACTCAACTGCGAAACTAAACTTTGAGTTCTCTGATTTAAGTAGAAATATTTATAAATATTTTTTTAACTAAGCTTATTACTTCTTTTTTTCAGTCCTATATAAAGCTGCGATTCTATATGAACATCGTTCTGGCGTTGATTATTGGCAGCATCTACAGAGGTGTGGGCGATGATGCCTCGAAGGCATTCTTTAATTTCGGTTTCGCTTTCACGATAATTATTGCGTACTTATATCTGCCAATGATGCCAGTATTATTACAATGTAAGTCCAAAGCTGTAATGAGATATTTTCTTTAGATTTTTACTCTCTAACCGCATACAGTTCCGACCGAGATGAAGTTTCTAAAGCGCGAGTACTTCAATCAGTGGTATCACCTGAGTTCATATTACGCCGCAATGATTTCCTCCAAATTGCCTTTTATGTTCGTGCTGGCCGTCATCTACCTTATTATGGTCTATGTTATGTCCAGTCAGCCCTTGGAGCTTTTCCGTTTTTGCATGCTCTTTCTGATAGCCTTTTTAACCGCTATGACGTCGGAAAGTTTGGGTATCTTAATATCGTCACACCTTAGTCTGGTGGTAAGTAACAACACAAATAAATAAGCGCACAAATACTTAAGGCACTAATCACTTAACTACTAATCCTGATCACGCTTCACTTACAGAATGCCATGTTCATGGGCCCTGTTGTCGCTGTACCGCTTATACTGCTCTCCTGTTATGGCATCGGCTATGGCAAGTCGGTATATATACACCCTGTAATGCGCTACTTAATGCAACTCAGTTACTTGCGTCACGGTATGGAGGGTCTCGTCGCCGCTCTTTATGGTTACGATCGTGAGGATCTACATTGTCCGGAAACGGAAGTGTTCTGTATGTTTAAGAAGTCGAAATTCTTGCTTATGATTCTCGGTTTCGAAAATTTGAACTATGTCTTTTCGGTTGCTTGCCTCGTGCTGTTCTATATAATATTCACACTTGCTGCCTACTTTATGATTCGACAACGCCTCTCTCTCCGAACCTCAAACAATGTGATCGTGCAATATGCAAAGCAACTCCTGGTGAAGCATCTCAATTTCTCTTCATACAATTACTAGCGGTGCTCGAGCACATATTTTACATATTCGTAAAACCAACATACTGTACAAAGAGTATTTATTATGACTTTTTACACTTAGTGTGGAGGGGAGCTTAGGATTTTAAGAAAACTTTTGCATTATGTACTACTTAAATAGAATAGCCGTTTTGCCATTAAAAAAAAAACCGAAGTATCACCTTGTGATCGTTTTAAAATAGTTGTTAAGGTTAAGTGCTTAACCCGGTGGACTGAAGTGATATTAAATTTAAGTGATTGTATAAAATTTACTAATCAATAAAGCGATATTTTGTAATGTGAAAAAAGCTTGACTTATTTTTATTTATTTATTTTTTTTTTTTTTTTTGCTGAGAGTACTTTGGTGGGGCACGCGCTAGTAAAAACACCGTTTATATATGGTACACAATCCTCTAAGTAGGCCGACGGAAAGCCCTACTCTTATAACCACAAAGAAGTTAAGCAAGTGGTGTTGGGGAACGATCAATGTAGAAATTGCTGATAAAGCCTGAATACAAGAACATCGTTTCGTTCTTCTTGTTTCCTGTTTTCTTCGAATACAATATTTACCGCACGGAACTGCGATCTAAAGGTAATATTTCATAAAACTTTGCGGAAAAATTTGCCGAAATCAGCTTATGCCTATTACTTCATTCCGGACCGGAAATGAGGAGCAATACAAGACTTCAACTATAATCGGTTCCACTAAAGTAGAGATTTAATTCGACGTTTCTTCAAAAAAGGAAACTAACATCCTTGGTAAGGGGGGGATTACATGGATCTTGTTTAATACTATAGAATTACTTGAACATTGTCCTAAATTCTCAAGTTGATCCAAGTAATAGTTTTGGAGATACAACCGTAAAAAGTTGGGCGCTCATGTCGATCAGCTATATTATCGTTTTTCTCGAAACTGTGAAAAGTCCATTCGGACAACCCAGACACGTAGCTGCTGTCTCTAGATTCGGCTCATTGTTTCAACGAATCCGATATTCGTCGTAGCCAAAGCGCAAAGCACCAATATTCTGCAGAACCCTTGTCTCCGAAACTCGTAACGTAGACCCATCATATGTTGTCCATCGTTCATGCCTCTGAACCATATAGCAGAACGGGAATAATGAGGGACTTATAGAGTTTGGTTTTTATTCGTCGAGAGAGGACTTTACCCCTCATCTGCCTACTCAATCCGAAGTAGCACCTGTTGACAAGAGTTATTCTACGTTGGATTTCGAGCAGCATTGGCAACAGTTGAGCAAAAGTATGTATGTATTAATTTTTTAAAATTTTTTTCATTCCATTTCTAATCATTTAGCCACCACTGTAAGCGCGGAGCCATTTATCAACAATACAACTTTGTGCTTTGGCATTTGAAAAAGCTTTGATTTCGAACTATTCACAATGGGCAGAGCTTGGTGAATATGCGCTTGCTCGCAACTACCGTTAATTTGACGAAATTCGAAACGATAAACCGGAAATTTCGTAAATTGATTCGCAGAGTTTATTTTAATTAAAAAGTACATTTTTTTTCATATTAATAAAAATTCTTAAGCCTCAGTAAAAAATATAGTTTGTAGAGCACTTTGCGATGACATCAAGTACAAAAACTGGTCCAACAACTTGAAATTGAGGCTCGATAAGTAATTTGCAGGCAACACGTGCCCTTAACTCATATTTCGTATATTTAATGCGCCTCATAAATGCTCCAAGGACATCACGCAGATGTTGACGTGTACAGACAACAAACAACACAACACTTAAATGTACATACATATCCGTATGTCTTTACTTATAAATATCAAGCATGCAATGTTGGTGACTAAAGTGATTTCTTCCGCTTCTACGTTTCCACATTTGTGGACTCAAAAGACTCAAGATAGCGAGTTCTAAAGGCAATGCGTGTAATAAGGAAGCTATCGTAGTATATTCACATATAGTGTATGTACGTATATCCGCAAATGGAAAATTACTCTGGCGCTTACCTGCAAAGAAAAGAACAAAAGTTGCTTTAAGTAAAATGCAAGCTAATGCAGAAGTCACTAATATATTATAGAAGGTGTCTTTTTAGGGATTAAGAATTTTTTTGTAAACTAAAACACAATAAATTTAATGAAATAATTTAGTCCTTAGTTTTCTTATATAATTATATATTTGTTATATAGTTCTTATATAACAGGTCAATTGAAAAGTTCCCGGCCTGACAGATAGATGGTGCTGCTAGAATGAAATCCATATAATTTTGAAGTATCCATCACCTGCAAAAGGTATTGACAACTGTCGAAACATTAGTTTGTAAGTTTGGAGTTGTCCAAGCATAATAAACCCGACTCTTTGCATCGATACATGACTCCATCACTCCACTTTGAAGTCCAATCGACAGTCACCGGAAGGGAACTACAAACGATAAACCCGAGAGTCGGTTGGCAAGGTTATTGCGTCTGTATTTTGCGCTGTGCATTGACTACTTTGAAAAGGAGACCATTAAATATCGTTCTTTGATCATTTGAAAGACGAAATCACCGAAAAACGGCCGCATTTGAAGAAAAACCCATTGGACCGTGTCACAAATCAGTGAAAACGATATCAAAAACCCATGATTTGATTTGAAGCCCAATCGCCTCCGCATCCACCGTTTTCTCCAGATCTGGCTCCCAGCGATTACTCTATGTTCTCAGATCGCTAAAGAATAGGCGGTGGGTAGAAATTCTTCATCGAATGAAGGGATGTTCGCCGAAACCGAGGCCTAGTTTGAAGCAAAGGTCCAATCGCACTACAAAAATCTCATCAAAGGGATGTAGAGTCAAAAACGAATTTTATCAAAAAATGTGTTTTGCAATCATAACACGGGGACCTTAAAATTAACCTGTTACACTAAAAGCATCCTCTTCATACACAGTAACATATAATTTTTCTTTCCATAATAGCGGACGTTAACAAGGACTCAGATAACCTTAAGTAGATTACTTCTAAGCTTTTTATGCTCAAACTCCGCTCAACCCCTTGAATGCTTGAATACTAGATAAAAAAGGGTGTGTACTTGAAGTAATTAAGGCGGCCAAATTAAAAGATAAACAAATCAATTACGGGTACATACATATTTACATTAATGTATGTACTAAATGACAGCTGAAAGCCGCTCATTGGCGCATCGATAAAAAGCGGATATTAAAAACAATTAAACTTGTTCTGAAATGCGAGTTGTGGCGCTTCACAACTCCTGCACACCGAGTAGACCTGCATCCGAGCCGCGTTCAGTTTAATTTAAAATAGTGCAGACTTATGTTGTCTGTGGTCAGTAGCGTGCAGGACATCGTCGGTTGAAAGTGCGTGCGGCGTCTTAACAGAAAAAAAGAATTTTAAGAATTACTTAGCTTCTGAATAATTATTGCACGAAGTTAAACAATTGTATTTTCTTATGTGTCGAGAATGAAATTTCTACTTTTTTACGCGACTTACTTCGCCGGCGTACTCGGTTAGTATGGTGGTAGAGTACTGGTGATAAGAAAATAAATTTTGAATTTTGCCAAAGCTGAGACAAAGAGCTCAGGATGCTAAGTAATTCATAATAGAAATACAAAATAAAAAAAAAAAAATGTGAGGCAGCAGCTGCTCATTATTTGAGTTAGGAACTAATTAAGATCTTAGCAGTTTATTTTAAAATAATAAAGAATGAACTACTAAGTATTGGGCGCGTGATAGCTTTTAGAAATCAAATAAAACAAAAATATTCAGAAGGTATTTATTTTAACAAAATCAGTTATCAATGTGGTCCAACAAGTGAAAGGGGTGTAGGCACACGCAACACATAAAAAAAAATCATAATAAAAAAGTTTTATGACTCTCTCCCCTCAGTCTCAAAATCGGCTCATACAGGTTTACATGATTCCAACTATTGTAGTGTTCTAAACGAAACATATTTCGAATATGCTTCATTGGCACAAATTTCGCTATCGTATGGTTTTTTCCGTAGACGCCATGTCACAAAGTACGGGGTATCTCCGAGAATAATTTGAGGGTATCTTCAAGTCGCCGTTGGGATGGTAAGGCTTAGCTAAGTTGTCGTCGACGTCATCTAACGGAAGGCCCAAGAAAAGTGTTCTTTTGACATGGTCCAATCTAAGGAAGGGGGGTGTCAGATGAGTAGGGCTGATGGAGCATGCAAAGAGGTGGCCAGTGTCATGCAGAGACTCATAACAAGCGGGACATATATTAGATATGTCGGAGTGTATTCTTGATAAGTAGGAGTTTAAGCTCCTACAGTATACAGATCGAAGCTACGCAAGGGCCACTTTCGTTTCTCACTTCGAGCTCTTCGTGTGCGATGGGTGGGGGTTTGACTCCGAGTACGCCATTCACTGGAAGGGAGTCGGTGAAGGTGTTGAATGGCGGTCAGTGCCTGTCGAAAGTTTGTTACGTCCGAAGTCTGGTCGGCCTACTGTCTAATGACGTCGACGTAATTAAGAAACCGTACAGCCGGTTGACTCAATACCATACATTCGTTCAACAGCTTCCGATTAACAGTCTGAGTGCGAAAAACCATTGTAAATTTGTGACAAACGCAAAGCGTATCATCGATTTACGACACTCCTGTTGATCCATAATTACGAGTTGGTGGCATTACAAAGGACTGGCTGTCTAACAGCGATCCTTCGTAAATCTTGTGCTAAGGATAGGTAATACCTAGACTAAGCGAGAGTGGCTACCCACCGATAAAGCTAAATTTCTACCTTTTGTTAAATCTTTATAATTTATTTTAACAAAAAGCTGTATTTTAAGGGTTGAGCGCAGCAAATCGTAACAAGAGGACTGCTGATGGCACCGCTGCAATTAAATAACATATTTTAATCATACACTTTTGCGGCATTCAAGTGTATTTAAGTGCTAATGATTTATACTTTAATCTTTTCCTCATTGCTCATTGGTACTTCGTTACGTGCTGTTGCATTGGGATGACTCACTCTTCAACTGCGGCTAGCCCTCAACGAAAGCACTTCAATAGCATTTCGAAACCAGTTGGGTTATTGCGAGCCTTTTACAGTGGAATTAATAGCGGGACTTGTTTCGAAAGAGGCACGTCAAATAATCGATCCAGGATCACGTCCGCAACAAAAGCAATTGCGATACGATCTGTTTACAAGGCGGAATCCACACACACGACAAGTACTGTTAGCTGGCAACCGCAACCGGCTGTTGACCTCGAACTTTAATGCCACTTGGCCAGTCAGGTGAGTTGAATTTACGTAAGCAATGCAAATTCACTGGATAATGAATCATTTTGTGAACTTGAACCTCCAAGCTGCATACATATTTATCTATATTGCTTTTATTTTCACTTAGATTATCCATTCATGGTTGGAATGGTCAAACCACGACTTGCTCGAATGCCGCCATTAAAGATGCGTACCTCGCAAAGGGCGATTACAATGTGATCTTAGTTGACTGGTCGGATTACTCGTTGGACATAAATTATTTTCGCGTTGTGGTGGAAATTTCCGAAATCGCACGCAAGCTCAACGAGTTCACACGTTTCCTACACAACCAAACTGCCGTTCCCTTTAGTAGCATGTATTTAATTGGACACAGCGCTGGCTGCCACATCGCTGGCATGGCGGGCAAGTTACTGCAACCCGATAAATACGGTGTCATCTACGCACTAGACTCTTCTGGGCCCGTACATCGCACATTGGACGCGAAATGGCGACTCGCACCAACCGATGCCGTCTATGTGGAGTCCATACAAACTGACATAGCGTTGTTTGGTTTTCCCGCTGACAAACTAGCACACGCCTCTTTCTACCCCAACTGGGGCTTGGGTCAACCACATTGTCCCAATGTGACCACTATGGAGCCGGACTTCACTTGTGATCATTTTGGCGCTTTATACTACTTCGTGGAGTCCTTGCAGAATCCGTCGGCATTTGGCGCAATCAAATGCAAGAATTATGACAGCATCGAGCGCTCGAAGTGCGGCTGCGGCGCGCGCTGGTGCCACGCGACTGCCTTCATGGGTGGCGATCCGGCTGTGCCGAAGAAGGGCGTCTTCTACTTCAGCACACGTGCGACAATGCCGTTCGGTTATGGTGCGATGTGCCGCATGAAACGGCCCATCCGGCCCACCATAGCGCGTATTTCATAAGACTTAAAGACGTTTGGTAGTGTTTATCACATTTATTTGCTCTTAATTCTCGCTATGGTTGATTAGTCATTTACAATATGCATTTAATGTATTAGTCTACACTTTTTTTGGTTTTCGATTCACTTGAGTGCAAAAAATCACAAAATATATATACACATGTTACTGTTAAAAACATTTTAAATACATTCACTTTTGTATATAATTACATTACTAGTGTTCTTTGGTGAGAATTTTGAGCTTAAAAGATTAGTGCACGAAAAATATGCGACGAATGACACAAATTTGGAACATTCACTTAAATAAGGGCACGTTTTTAAGTTTGAACATGGCTGCATTCAAGCTTAAATAAAATTCTGCGTATAGTTTAGTCATGATCCGGCCTGTTAGCTTGAAGCATTTGATCATTAGGTTAAAGTAAATGGATACGCCAGTTGCGACATAAAAATACTGGAAACTTTATAACTTATGTTTAGTGTAAGTTAGCGTTTGGAAAGCGAAAATTTGTTATGCTTAGCACAGCTCACTCATATCGTACAAATATGGTATATGTATATGTTTGTAAATAAAATCATTAACAGAAAAAATAATAATAGCACATTTTTAACCCGCCACCAACAGTTATTTAATAAAATGTTTAAGAAATAAAATATATTTCCCAGACTCCTAAATTACTAGCTCTTTGCTTTTGAGCTAGACGAAAAATCCCAGCTTTCATTTGGCAAATATGTATGTGTAATTTCCTGACTTCTCCCAAATTAACAGCACTATGCACATGAGTTCATATGTGCTCCGCTATCGTAGGACTTAGGTGCGAGGCGCACTCAATGTGCTCTGACTCGTGCTCGCCGACATGCCGAGCTCCTCATCCGATTCATCCGAATCGAGTGGACTGATGCGTATCGCTTGATACCATTTGTTGGTCAAATCAGCCATTTGTGATTTGCACTCATGCAGTTCTTGGCTGTTGAAGCGCCGCGTAAAGAATGGTATGAAGAATTTGCGGTCCATGCGGCCGAAACCACCGACGCGCGTTTGTGCGAAGGAGACATCTTCCTCCTCAGTCAACTCGGACAAGTGTTCTGAATCAATGGCTTGTCCCCATTCACGTGTCTTTGATAATGAAATGGATTTGGAACGTTTTCGTGAACGCGAAGCGCTTCTTCGTGCCACAGTTGCAGAATTTGCGTTACGTCCGGAGCGTGAGCGACGTTTTTTGCCAGGCTTGAGATATTTTAGTAACGGCATGGTGGAACCACCGAAGAAGAGCGTTGTGAAGAGCACAATAATTAGTGTCGTAGTGATGAGCACACGGCGTGTCTCGTCGTTTGGCAGATCCAAATGTAGGGAGAGCGCATATGAGATGGCACCGCGTAAGCCGGAGAACCACATGATGAACTGCATTTTGTTGGTGATTTTATGCTCGCGAAATTTGTTAACTAGAAATGCTAATGGAAATATATTACATGCACGCCCTATTAAGCACAACACAATCGACCATATCACAAAGGATAGCTCTACTTGATGCTTGAAAGAGAATATTGCTAAGCCAAGGTATGCGAAAACGCAGGTCTCAGCGATGAAAGATAGCGTACGCATAGTTTGTTGCATTGTTATCTGTGTAACGGTGGAAAGATTGAAATGTGTGTAGTGAGACATGACGATGCCGCAAAATAGTATGGCCATAATTCCGCTTAGATGTATGCCCTCCGCTAATACATAGGGCGCATAGGTGAACATCAACATCATAGCGAATTCCAGTGATGGGTGTTTGCGCAGATCCACATGTTTTAATAGTAGAGCCGATATGAGCGCGAAAATTACACCGATGCCGGCGGAGGCGAAGAACATTTCGCAAAACGTTTTAAGCGCTGCAAAGATTGCCTGACCAGTTGTTGCTTGCGTATTCGCGGGTGTGTTAGCCGACTGTGTAATTGAGGTGGTCAGCACAATAGAGATGGCGTCATTCAAAATGCTTTCACCAAACACCAACATGTTTAGTATGGGATCTACGTCCAAGGCGTGAAATATGGCAACAGTTGCTACTGGATCCACCGCTGATATCAACGAACCGAAGGCGAATGATTCGGAGAAGTCCAGCCTAAGAAAAAGATTATTTTATTGGGGTCACTTATTTCAATTATTTAATTAAAAAAATTATCACTGCTCAGCATATACACATACGTACACTTTCACCATATACATATGTATATACGTATCTCCGCTCATTAATTCTATTATTCCTTAATTGCTCACCTATATGCGACCTCTGCTACTCCTAGCAGATAACAACCAGCTCCTATAACCAATGCCGAGATTGTTGTGCCAAATATTGCGAATACTAATATAGAACCAATATTTTGGAAAAAGTTACCCTTATGCAAATTATAACCCGATTCAAATATGATTGGCGGCAGTAGAACCAGAAAGAATCCTGTTGGGGAAAAAACTTCTTCACGCTTCCAACTAGCATTTTCGGCCGACATAACCTTAAGTAAAAGTCCAATTAACGCTCCCAGAAACACTACAACAATACTTTCCGGTAAATATTGGAATCCCGTCTGTAGCATTGAATGTATCAGCAAAATTCCAAGCATAATAACGCAGATTACGAAGAAAATTGACAAAGAAGAATTGTGTTCTTGTTCAACAGCATGCTGATCTGGTAGTGGCGGATCTGCGGTAGGTGTTGTCACATTTTGCGTAACATTTGCAGGAGTTACTGATGCAGTGGTTGTCTGGTTTGTTTGAATTTCCTTAGTAGCATTTGTACCATCTATTACTGGGTCGATAGTTGCATTTGTAGTTGAAATATTTAGTTGGTTAGTTGTAGTATTTACTTTTATTGTATTTAGCCCGTTTGTGGTGAATATGCTTTGTGCTCCATTGCTACCAGCTGCATTCTGACTGGATGACGTATTTTGAACGGAGATTGATTCGATTGATGATATTGTATTATTTACTGAGCTGTTATTGATTGCTGATTTCTCGATGCCATTGGTATCACTTGAGTCTGCAATAACGCTGCATACTAAAGCACAAATCGCAAGCGTGAGTAAATAAAGAGCACGCTTTTGCTTCGCCATTGTCTAAGATTGTTTCGAAATCTGCAATTGATTCGCACTTTTTATCCTTCAGTCTTTGCCATCAAATAAATTGACTTTATTTATTGTAAGAACTTTTCAAAATACGTTGCAATATTCAAGAAAATTCCTCTGTCCACCACTTTTCTGTCACAACAACAAAGCAAACACGTCACTTCATATTTCCACAATAATCACCTGTGAAGTTCTGTTCGCTTTTCACAATTTGTTTACCAATCGTTCGTCGTTGGGCACGACAGTCGATCGTAAATGTATGCAGCATCATTTTTTAATTTGTTATTTTATCAAGAACCATATTTTCACAATTTTACTTTGAAATTAGTACCATTCATTTTATATTACTTAAGTTTTATAATACTTCAATTTTAATATGGAATTTTTAAAATAATTTTCTTTTCCAAAAATATAAACATTTAGTATATGATCATCAGTTTTCGACATTTTGTGACAAGTCAGCGTCATTCAAAGGCTCGAATTGGAATCAACGTTAAGTTTCTTGCAATAATTGGCAGATTCCGATTATCGATGCTCGTTCGTGCGAAACGAAAACATCAACAACATACAAAATAGAAATATGCATTGCAAAATAAATTGAAATTATAATAAACTCATTGATTTTTATGGAAAATGTTTTTTAATTCGTTTAAGAAAACATCAGAACGTTCCTTTGACAAAAACGTGCCAAGCATTGACTGATAACATAGACAATACGATTATATGAATTAGTTTGAATTTTAAATGTACTGATACGGGGTTTCAAGATCTTACATTTATATTTTTGATTAATAGTCTACGTGCACCGATAACAGGAAAACGTAACTGTGAAAATACGGAATTTATATTTCCATATTTCTTGAACCCCAATTATAAAAGTAATTTGTTTTCAAAAAAGTTTTGCCAGAAATCAGAACATTCAATCGCTCACGTTTCTGTCATTCATCTATTACAACTTATAATAGCATCCGCGCTCGCGCCCCTCAAAAGGAAGTTCACAAAGATGTCGTTTGAGATAAGAAATATTGTGCTGTATGATAATACTTAATAATGAGCTGTTTCTATTTACTTAAACAATAAATAATTTGCACAATAGACTTAAGAGTGCATATGTGCGATCTTTGAACCTAGAATCTTTACTTATCACAAATCTTCAAATTAAGCAAATATTTTTTCATTACTCAAAACGACTGTAGTAAGATCAATAATCAAAAGCAAATAATATTTGTATATGGAAATACGTAAATTCAAAGCGCACTAAATTAAATGTTATGTAAACAAAGTCATATTATGAACGTCGTTATATTTTATTGTACTGGATTTTTTTTAGAAAAATACCTCATTTCCGGAGATACATAAAATTACGTATTACCTAGAGGTTTTTTAATTGACGAATTTAGTTTCTCATTTTTAAGAAAAGACAGAAGGCCAATAATAAATTACTAATTTCCTTAAGTATTAATAATGCTCCATTACGGTAAATCTTTGGATATGACTCAATAGGTCACATGTTCGTTTTGCGACATCATACAAAGTCTTGTCATTAAGCAAGAGAATTTTGGCCACAAATCCGCCAATGCTATAACACATCGATTTTATTAATAATAAAAATTAGAACCAGGCTTGTCAATCTATAAAGAACATACATCCAAGATCCGTTTGTTAATAAATAACAATTATCATTTAAATTCGGAGAGCACTGATAATTTCTATTTAGATTTACTATATATGTATATAATTAAGGGAAAAGTATATAAGTCATAGAATGATAAGAATTACACTTCAGTCAGTTTGGGAGCTAACTCTGAGTAAGTTGATGTCAAAAGTTTCAAATTAACACATGGATTGATTTTTCAAAGACAATGGAAGAAGAAAGCAAAAGTGAAATGTTATGAATATTTTTATAGTCGAATTATTTTGTTTTAGAATAAGAAATACACATACCAAAGCTATAAACTAATATGAGACTTAAAAAAATATTCAATTGGAATTAATAGATCTATGTAAAATTCGAATTTCATTTTATAACGACATTCGACTTATTATGATTTAGAAATAACCGGATTTCCAAATAGCATTTGAAAACATCATTTTATATACACAAGTTTTAAATGTAGAAGTATGGATTGAAATTGGAAAGTGACACTTTGAATATTAAAAACATGTATAAATTAATTGCATGATTTTCTTATATATTATTTAAAAGTAAATAGTGTATAGTTTTCTCAACTTTTTAAGAACACAATTTTTGCGGACAATAGCGATTTTAATACCAATACGAAATATGACTTTAATACCAAATATTTGCAACTCTAAAGGAAAAGAATCGGAAAAGTCGATTTTACAATTATCGTTTAAGTCGGAAAAGCAAACTTGTCATCTTCAACATATTTTGTTTGGGCAATTTTGTATTTTTGCTTTTGCTGGAAGAAAACTAAGAAAAGTGACACCGACGAAAAGCACGAATAAAAACAAAGTAGATGATTAAGTGCGGATAGCTATCATCAAGGAAAATTACATATACAACTTTTAACCTCCACCGGCAAGTCTTTGCAGTCTGCTTCGTAGCCAACGGCAACATTCGGAATTGTAGCGATAACGAGCATTGCTACCGTCGTCTCCGCTCCTGCTGTTGATGGTCTGCTTTTTGCTATATAAATTCTGAGAGTAGCAAATAGGTATCGCTCTTTTTCTACCCAACCGTCAAGAAGTGCGGACGTGTTTTCTGCTTCTGGCCGAATTGATCGCATTTTTGTGTTGTAGAATTGTGTGTGTGTGACAACCAACTAAAAGTAAGCAGTCAACTACCTAAAAACAGGCAGTCAAAAATAAAGGTTCAATAGAAAATACGATAAATTTAGGAAACAGCCAAGTGATTATACGGAGTGCCAACTTAGTGTAAATTTGTGATACTCCACGGCGAATTCACGCAAAATACTGTGTTACATAAATAAATACGGAGGGCAGCAGATTTTATTTTACAAAATATTTTTTCAAAAGCTTAGTGTAAATTTGACAACGGCATTTCGCACTGGTTCCTACTCCGCTGCCTGTTCAACCAAGTTCATTCCAATACAAAATCACTTCTTCCTTTGCGAAAAATCAATTTATTTCAACCTGCCTTTTACAACTGCAAAAACAACAAGATTTTCATCATTTGTTAATCTTCAACAGCATTTCCTCTCATACAATCGTAAAAAGTTACTTGGACCTAACAAGATGCCACTATCATCAGCTGCGACAAATGGTCACTCCAATGGCTGCAATGGAAAGACAACCGATTCCTATGACATGGAGGATGGACAGACATTCCTTTTCACTTCCGAATCAGTAGGCGAGGGACATCCCGGTAAGTATTATTGAAAATAATTGAATTATTGTGAAATGTTAAGTGTAAATATGTTTAAGTTGCTTTCTATGTAAGAATGTGCATAATGAGCCGTTTTTGTGTATGCAGTTTCTACCCTCTAACAAAAATTGGATGATGTACATTTGCTATACAGGTAAATGATAAATTTCGATTAATCTCTCATTGAGACACCTGATCTAATTTGATTGCGTCACGAAAAGCAACCATAAATTAAGATTACACGAATGATTCTAAAGCTAAAGCTGCTTGTGAAATTTCCATAGACAATTAGCAGTTTTTAATGTTTGTCCTGTCTTAATTTATTTTTCTCCGCCGCTCACATGGAACACCTACAAAATGGCGGCGTCTCATTCTTCTCTAGAATATCGAGTACATATTCGCAGGTTCAACCGCGCTGTATGTTCTTTAACGTGGTCCTCTGCTCTATTACATTACACTACCCCGCGACAGCCCTTATATTTATTTTATTACCTGCGGCATTTCATGAACAGTATGTTCTTGAATTTAATTTTGATGGCACAGAAATGTAACGTGTGTTTTTTTCGTAGTAAAACTATCGGCCATCGAACGCAATTTATATTTTGTCATTTGAACTAAAAATGTGTATTTGTTTGATGATTTTTATATTTCTTTAGTATAATTCTTGCAGCTGCGAGAGTTTTTGTTTCCCTTGTGTTATGTGTTTCGTATTGCCGAGAACGCGTGTTTTGCGGCGCACACAAACGCAAAATTAACTCCCAAGATTATTCACATTTAGGGTGACCAGGTAGTTGCTTGCTGATGAATGTCTCTAGTAGATTCTATACAAAGACTATTTTTACAGCTGAAATTTGTTGTCAATGGTTCTGTCATCGCCCAGCAGATGCATATAAGATTACATATTTTTATCTTTGATATTTGTTTACATCTTCGGCACTTTAATACCACGTGAATTAACATAAGATTGCATTTTCAACAGCTGGTCATACGAATATATGTATGTACATTGAAATAATAATAAAAGCGTGTTTGTGTTATTCATGCGCACCATGTGCTTGGCCAAAGCTCCCGCAGCCTATGGCTCCCTCTCAGTGCTCTCTGACATTTCAATATAATCGAGGTGCTCATGCATAAGCACATTTAAACGAAACACTCACGCGATTGCTTTGCTTACTTGTTGGCATATTGCTCATTGAATGCTCCTAAAATCCCCATCGATTGTCAGTTTATTGCGTGCTCATTATATTAGTTTATATTTTATTATTTCTTTTTACCCTTTATCGTGGCTCTTTGTAGATTTTGATTATATATCGCAATATATTTTAGAATTTTCTGATTAAATCTGTAAAAAGACCAAGATTCTGCAAACGGCGCCATCAATCAACCTAGTCGACCTGACTTCCGTCGTTTTTTTTTTAAGTAAAACTAAACTACCTCTGTATGCAAAGCTGAGCTTTGCCATTACACAGAAACCACGTGGTTGGAATATTCTCAGTTGGCTCATCAATGATTAGCTGATGTAGTTTAATGCCTTTTGTCGTCAGTTCATGATACTTTCCGTAGCTCAGCTGTTTTCGATGTATCATTAGCTCTAAGCATACACATTTGCATATATTATGTAAACCAGAAGTAGGGGGGAAGTAGAGCTGATAAGGAAATAAGTTTCTTCCAACTGATTAAAAACCCGATGATCACAAAAATTGAGGTTACTACAGCATTTTGCGCTTTAAAAGTGACTTTTTTTTTATGAACACATGCATACATATACAAATTATTATTCAATAGCTAATGCTCGCAGTGTAAAAAATACCCTGATAGTACAGTACACTCTATTTGTTATTAAAATATTCATAATCCGGTGTTACCAGCACAACTAATCACATTTTACTCTGGAAACTGCGCTATAAATAGGGATT